TAATTGTTCTACTTTTCGTTTCACGATGAATTAAATATTATTATTATGTAATTTAAAAATTAATTTTAATATATTTTTGAGTTTTTTCATTAATTTATTAAGAGCTATACGAATAAAATTTTTACAGATTATATTAAATTTACATTTAAATTGATTCTTTAAATATTTGTTGCTCAACTGAGTTGAATGAATTAATTCATTTATCGCTAATTAAGCAAAGTCTAATGCGATTTCCAGCAAATAAACTTTCTCTAACTGATCCCGTTGCCTCCTTATTCCATTGATATCTCTTTACAAATGGTTTGAAACTTTTGAATTTCGTTTTAGATGAAAATCTTTTGGCGCCCACGAGTTTTGAATTTGGAATTAGTTCTTGGACAAGTGTCTAAGCAGAGCAATTTTGTTTTTGTAGTTGCTTTTTTTTTTTTTTTTTGTACTGTAACTCTAAGTCTATGGACTGTCTGATGAGTTTTCGTTGAGCTGATGACAGTGAAAAAAGTTGCAAGAGTCAAAGGACTTTGGGCATGGAAGCCATAGTTGACCTTCGGTTCAAGGATTTCTCAAATGTCTGCTTGCTTTATTTTTCGTATTGCGTCCCAAAACAATTAGTCGAAGTGATTTGTAAAAATGCCCAAAATCCAAAGACGGCAACACCTACAGCAAAGCCGAAGAACAAAAAATTGAGATGAGAAGAGAACCGAAACCCTGTTCAGGGGATTAAAAGCCGTGACTTGACAAAAACTGCCGCAGACAGAACCACATCAAAGTGCCACATGTGAGTTGAACAAAAACGAAATATGGAAAAAGGGAATACAATTCTAAAGAGCTCATATCTGTCCATCTAGTATGTGTTTGTGTGTGTGTGTGTGGGTATGTAGGCAGTCTTAAAGTCAAGACATCAAAGTGGTTTCTCTGACATTTATGAAGAAATGCGCCAGGCGAAAAGTGTTGGAAAATCAATAGCACAGACGGCAAAAAAATAAAAATAAAGAGAAACAAAAACAAAGGCAAAGGCAAAACTGTGAAAACTACAAG